AAGCACAAACGAGACTAAGACTGAGCAAATAGAACTCGAAACTGGAGCATTGTGCTTTTCAACGAGCGTGTTGCTCTCATATTATTTCATTATTTCTCAAAGCGTACATTCTTGTRTTTTTTGTAGCAGCACAACCATTGGACGTTGGTATTTTGCTTGATTCATCGGAAGATGTGGCCACCCAAGACTGGGCTCGTATAAAAACTTTTACTAAGAACTTTGTRAGGCAATTCCCTGAGGTGTCTCCAGGCGCCAATGGCACACGGTTTGGACTAATTTCCTTTTCCGAGGAACCAGTAGTTCACTTTAACTTCAGAACTCTCGAAGGCAATCGTCTGAYTCCATCTGCAGTCCAGAGACTCATAGAAACTGCTCCTCGACAACCTGGAACTAAGAGAAGGATAGATACTGCTTTGGAACTGGCAGAGAAGGATTTATTTAGCGATAARGGAGGCGCGCGAAGGAACGCTAAAAGGGTAATATAAACATTGTCTTCTTTACTATATAATAAGTTTATTCACATATTGTATCCTTTTTATTTTCGTTTTATTATTGTTATTATTATTTATAGTGATACTCTTTTAAAAAAAATTAAGCGAGGTTTTGTTGCATTTTGCATACCAATCTCGAACTGCACTATGGGTAATGTAAATCCAATCATCAAAAGGTCACGAACAAAATGGATTTTTTCAAAACTTTGTTCTCACGTTTTAGGCTTCAATACTTGAACATGCAARAAAACCTTGCTTGACTTTTGTTGAAGTAGCCTATTCAAACTAGGAATGGATGACAAGTTTTTAGTSTAAAATTTCATAGATAATTGAACCTAATAACAACAGCCATGATACTGATTCACCCGATTGATATGGAGCAACTGGATAATTTTAATTTTCACTCATTTTTGTTACTGACGTTTGACGTTATCACTTCAATAGAGAATTGTGCTGTTGATGACCGGTCCTCAAGCAACAGATMAACCTCACACACCACCTGAGAAGGTTGCCAAAAGGCTGGCTCAGAATGGAGTCAAAATTTATCCGTATGGAGTGGGACAAAGTATTAACAAGACCCAAGTGTTGGCTTTGGCTGCTAATGAAGATGATGTAACGCAGGTTGAAGAATAYAATGAGCTTAAACCCGCTGCCGCAGCAATGTTAGCCACCAGGGTTCGAGAAGGTAAAGTAATCGCTGAAGCCACTATCTGGGTTTGTGCAACTACGCAAACTTTTTCAAAACTCATAGACTTCGAAAATTCCCCCGTACTTTTATTGAACTTTCACAKTATTTAAAAATAGACCATTGTTACCTCTTGACAAGTGCAAATATAGTTTTAAGTTTGAGAAATTAA